CCCGTCACGTTTGCAATGTTTCCCTACAAGTACTCGCACCTGTAAGACTGCTACTGTCATAATTTAATTTTAAAATTGTTTTAAAAAAATATTAAAATAAATGAAGAATAAATTGAAATTTAAATTAAGAGAACATAAATTTAAAGTTTAATTATTTAATTAAACTTTGAATTAGTTTATTAATCAAATCAAGAGTTAATTATAGAATTAATAAGTTTGAAGACTTAGTTGAAGTTGAAATTAGTTTAATTAATAAAATAGAGACTTATTTGAAAAAATATAAAAGTTTGAGACTGATTTGGATTCAAATTATAAGAAATTCAAGTCGAAGGATCATTTGTAAATTGCGATACAATGCAAGGGTCTAATTACAATTTACTCAGGGGCTTGATTACATAATTTCAGAACTTTAGTGACCCAATTGAGATGGCTATTCCCATCCCAAAACGGCGCTGTTTCATAGAAAACTGTTTATCTCCTTCATCCCGATTGAGCGGAGACGACAGAGAACGTGGTGACATCTTTCCCCCACGATGTGCCATTAATAGTCCAACAATGGATGGTATCCATTATATGTATTGGCCAAAAGTATGAAGGTGGAGATTAATGTATTTCTTGGGTTGAGTTGGGAGGCGTGGAATAGAGAAACAAAGAGGTCAAAGGATGCTCAAAACAATGAAGAAATGAACACAACAGGAGGATGAAAGAAAAGGAAAAAACGAACGGAGGAGAACGAGCAGAGGGGGACGCGAACAAAAAAAGGGAACGAAAGAACAGAGATTGAGAGAAAACTGAGAGAACCAGGGGACTGAGAGAAAACCGAGAGAACCGGGGAAGGGAGACCAGAGGAAACCCGAGAACAACATAGAAGGACGCGAAAAAAAAGAGAAACCAGGAGGACGAAGACACAGAGAGAGAGAGAGAGAGCCAGACGCAGAGAGAGACAGAGAGAAAACAGGGAAACAAGAATAAAAAAGAGTGACCAGAGAGAGAGAATATCAGAGGAGAAACGAAAGATAAACAGAAACGAAGAGAGGAAAGCCTTCGTCTTCGCACCACCTTATCGTCTTCAAACGGCGACATAATTACCCTGTTACTGTTGCATGCGTGTATAATTCACCAATGCCAGCAACAGTAACCAGCCGGGTTACTGGTTTGGACTCTGAGCCGGTTTGATCCATCTCAGCCTGTATGGGCTGAGATGACCCTACCCCTAAAAAACAACAAAAAAACAAAAAAAGCTGGGGCTAAGGCCCAGCCGGCAATCCTTTTTATTTATTTTTATTTTTTTGGTATTTGGTTTTTTATATTAAAAATTTGAAAAAAATTCATGAATTTCAGATAATAAGATATTTAAAGAGTAATAACATCTTTTTTTATATATAATCAGTTTCATATTATAAAATTTATATTAATTAATAAGGATTTTTAATAACTATAATTAGTTAACGATTACTTAAACAAGAATTTTATCTTAAAAATAAAATGCCAAAAATTCTATTTTTTTCATTAATTAAACTGTTAAAGATCACCACGTCGGATATCAACTCCCAGCCCTGCTTCCAAATAAAATTACAACATAGTTGTGTCGATGATCTTACCGAGCCGTTGGATCTTTAAAGGACCACAATATAGCATATCAAACATGATAGCTTAGTTGGATTTGTATCAGAATAGTTCAGCCTTAGGACAGATGGCTTATTATGAATTTAACGTTTTAGTGTTGATATAGTATTGGACGTGGGGCAAAAATACAAATATGACCAATAAAACATTCTCCCTCGATATACATACATCGACATAAAGCTCAGACTGCACAAGCTTTGCATTCCCGCTATGATGTAGTTGCAAATGTAAAAGGTGAGCCAAGGGCAACTGACCATGCCAAGGCAACATCTGTGCCTCTACCATCGATATCCTGTGTATAAACAGCAATCAACATGTGTTCAGAGTAATTGAGATGATAAAAGTCCTCATGCGCATGCTCAAGTTTAGTGACTAGTGAGCGTGAGCATTCCTTGAGAGAGCCCAGAGAAAGATAGAGAGAGAACCTGGTGGACTGCAATGCTGGAATTAATTCCGGCTCCATTGATCATCTGGCCATGAACATAGTCTCTCCTTACAGAATGGGCCTCTACCTCAGGACACACAACAATCACACTGATGTGCTTTGGGAAATCATGCCCCTTTGACTGCAAATGCTCGATAAGAAATCCATGGGACAGCCCAAGGATGCTGTTTGGCTTCATGTGAGAGAAAACTCTCTCATAAACACCAGCCTGATGCATCATGATATTAAAGTTGAACAGTTAAGACTGTGACCAAAACAGGCATTCATCAACACCAAACACATGGAATTTATGAGATGACCTATTAAGCATTGGATCATACAGAATGCATCACAAAACTTTTACCTCTGCTTGATGGATTATGGGGAAGAAATGAATTGAAAACAGATGAACTGGAGATGTGCTAGAAAATCAGAAACATTTTCCTCTCCTATTCTAATTTTATAGAACCAAAATCAACCTCGCGGCTTCACAGAAGAAAACTAAGCAAGTACAAACATATCTGCAGACAGACATATCATAAATGTATGTCACTAAGAAATAACATGCACTTATCACTTCGCAGAAATGTCTTTTTTAAAAGTTGAGACCATATAGAAGAACCTTGAGGAAGCAATTCGGTATTGAAACAGTACACACAGAAAAGTAACCCCTGAAGAACGTCACAGGAAACAAATTGCTACCATGACATTGAAGACAAGTAGCAGAACAACACCATTTGTATTCCATGCCAAAACTTTGTATTTTCTTTTGTTTTTCACCCCACACAACGTGCGCGAACTCGAGTTAAGAATACTAAAGAATCTAGTCTTTTTTTTTCTTGCCTAAATCTCAGCAGACACAAACTAAAAGAAACATACAGAAACAACAAATAGAGAAACAAATTCAGAATTCACACAGAAAGATTAATTAACAAACAAACCTGTGCAGCATTGGAAATCAAAAGAAGCACAAGATCACTGCCTGAAATAGTTTCCCAGATATCTCCTAAAGTATCGCTTTCTTCAGTAAAACCAGCAGCACGAGCTTCAGCAAAAGAGCAAGAATCCTTCTCGACACCGACCTATATCATACAGAGTAACCATGTAACTTCCTAAATAGGTAAAATTTCTGTATATATCTGTATATAAGAGTGAGTTGTAAGTAATTATTTGCCTTGACTTTTATATCAGACTTGGCTTCAGCGAGTGCATCCCTTAAATTCCGAGCTTGAACAGAACCCTGGTAATGAATGAGGGCTTCTTAGCAATCCACACAGACTCATGATAAAAATAGCATTAAAGGAAAGATTTGTGATAAAATGAAGCTAGCAAACATCATACACAGATTGAGCTACCGATATAAATGCACAAATTCATAGACTCTGTTTCCAGTTTCCACAGACACACTCGAAAAGATTTTGTAGAATGGGAAAGAAGGCTTTTGATACTAACAAGTTTTAGTCCTCAAGCAGAACCAAGACATACTAATAAGGTACTACAAATTTAAAGGCAATTGTACATATTCTAAGCACAAAATTGATAGTATTCACCTGGGAAACCCAACCAAGGACACCAATCTGTTTAATTCCCTGGAATGCATCTGGGAGCAAGAGAAACACATCCTTGCCTCCTCTCACAATGAACTGCAATGCAATAGGAATAAAGCATCATCAATAACCAGTAGTTACAAACCGAAAGAAGTAAAACTTGGAGGGGGAAACGATCTATTAGACAGAAACCTAATAGTTATCTTCCATTATCAAACACTAAATTAAAGTTTATAATATTTGATTATAAAATTTACAACATGGAGCTCTAAATTTAGGGAAGGAAATGGAAAAAATAAAATTTTAAAAATCATACCTTGTCATGGCCAGCGAGCATGATCTTCTCCTTCTTGAAAACGAAGGTCTGAAAATCAAGAGAGGTCCGAAGCTTTACCCTAGGATGCATGGCCCTTCCAGCAGCACCAACTGAGCCCCTTCCGCCATGGCCACTACCGTCACCTTCACGAATTTTAGTAATAGCAGCTATGATCGCTTGCACAACCACAGGATTGAAGAAGACCCATTTAAGGAATTTTGAAAATTTTGCACCGAAAAGAAAAGCAGAGACGTTGCAATGCAATTCAAATTGTGTATCTTTTACATAACCAGATAAAGAGATCTTCTCCCTGCTTGCAAAGCGGGTGGAAAAACCAAGACTTGCAGCACGCGGTGGTGGTGAGTCCACATCAGCTGAGCCGTCACCGTCCACGTCCTTTTCGCCGCCTCCTCCTCCTCCTCCACTACCATTACTAGTTTTAAGCAGCTCACTTATTTTCAAGACAGCAGCTGCCATGGCCATGACACGTGATAGAAACTCTTGATGGACGGGTTTTGATGGTTTTGGAGGAACGGTGAGTGGAGGGAGAGGGGCAGAGGTATCAAAATGAGCTTCAAATTGTAACTCCTCTTCCTGAACACCATCAGGAGAGACTTTCTTCTTCTTGCTGTAGAAGGTCCCGAAATGAAGAGAAGCTAACAACGGTTTCAACGGCATTCGACACCCTACTGTTGAGCCTGACAGCTTGGGTTTGCGTCTTTCGAGAGATAGACCATTATGTGAATAGGTGTTACGTAGAGATTTTGGCGGTGGTGGTTTTGGACTGTGTAGAGCATAAGAGCAGTAAGTAGCAGCCATTTTGGATTCGGAGGTGGAGGAGACGGTGTCGGAGTTTTAAGGGAAATGGACAGTGGGAGTGTTTTTTTGGGTTTGCCTGTGGCTATAAAAGGAAGGGTGACACCAACTCATTGGTTTACATGTAATATCTTACGTAGGCGAACGCACGAATCCCGACCTGGATACCCTCAATAACTAGTTCTGAAAATCCATGAACCCGACCAGACATGAAATTTATCGGCTTTGACGTGGCGTAACGAGGTGGAGGACAATGTAGTCATTTTAATATTTTGTGTGATTAATTAGTGGCTCCTTGAGGTTAGGGCTTGCCCTTCGGGGTTTTCACGTGTGGAGGGCAAGTTAGTCATTCAAGTAAGTTATACCCGAAGGGCTTCCCCTTCGGGGTATAATTTATTTTATCACTAGAAAATAAAAATAAATTTTACAACACTTGAACTGTAATAATATTTGTAACACTGACGAAAGAGAAACAAAGATGGAGTAGCATAGAATTTCTCAATAAAACTCCTCTGCAAATCTCTAATCTCTTTATACGTTAAGAGAGTCAATAAAATTTGGGCGATGATTGGCTAATAAACTATGTTAATTTGTTATTAGGTAATTGTTGGGTTGATTATTTAATTAGAGGTTGACTTTTATTAGCATTTGTTATTTGCTAAAGGGCGTATTGAGGTGGGTTGCTGATTCGAAGGAGCTGAAGAAGAGGCTGGTAGAGGGCAGTGAGGATCTCCTTGGACCCTGTGATGTTGATGAAATGAAGAATTGAGTTACGGGAGGATGGATGTTTGGATGTAGCGATTGCAAGCCTGGATGAAGAAAGTTTTTATGATGGTTTGGATGGTTTGCAGTGAAGATCTCCTCGGACCATCTGCAGGCTCTGTCCATCAGGCTATCGGGATCCTTCCTTGTCATCTTTATTCAGGAGAAAGCCATGATGAGCGTATGATTTCTTTGTGATGGTTGTGACTTTTATATATAATGTTTCTCTTCTCCTTATTTTCAAGCTATGATGACCGTATGATTTCTTTGTGACCATACTGAATATGAGACTTTGTTCTTCTGACTGAACAAGTGTGTAAGGCTCTGATTTTGAGAGATTAAATGATGGGTTTATGCTGAGTTCTGGGTTACAAGCAAAAACCAGAAAATGATCTTGTTAAACTTCCTCTTTGGTTTTGGGTAATGAAAGAGGAGAGCTTGTGGAGGGTTCTGTTAGAGTGGAGAAAGCAGCATTACTGCTTTCAGAAATCATACCTAGGCAGAGATGAAACAGAGCCAGGATTAATGCACATCTTGATACACTTGAGATCTTAGTACCTTGTACTGAATCTACTGATAAGGTTTTTGTTGCTGGATTGATTATGTTGAATTTTGAATTTAAACAGTTCTCGAATCATTTAAAAAAGATTGTTTCTTAAAGTTTGGGGATAAACGTTGAATTTAAACAGTTCAAAATTAAACTTAATAAGAACCAATTGGTTTACTGTAGCTTATTGTGCTGCTTTTGTTTGTGAGTTTACTTGAGTTATTTATACAAGGATGATTGATTAAGCTATGCTGCTATAGTTCGCATGTTTATTACTTCGTTCTGTGGTTTTTCTTAACATAGACATCACCCAAAACATATATGTGTGTGCTGTGATTTCTTGTGGTTGATGACATGACTTCTTCTTGATTGCAATTAATCATAAATCAAGTGCAAGTGATGTTATTTATGGACTATTTGATAAACAAAATCCTGAATTTTATATGGATTTGACTGGTTTTGTAAGAGCTGGATGTTATAGTTGTTGTCAAGTTTCCAGCTTATGCTTTTATATGTTAAGAGGTGGATTTTATATGTTAACTTGGGTTCCTGAATTATTAATTTGAACTTTCAGGTGCAAGGCATCATTGCTTTGTGGAGATATAAACCACTTGAAGGAGCTCAGGAAGAAGGCTGCAGAAGGTAGTGAAGGTCTTTTCATGCCATTGGATGTTGATGAAGAGTTGAGCATAAGAGTGCAGTTTGCATGGTGCCCCCTATTTAATCAAGGCTTCTATATGTTGTGATTGCTAGTCTGGAATGCTGTCTGATTTAAGACAAGCTTCTGATGCTTTCCATCTGATCACAAGGAGCCTAGGAATTGGACCTTGGAAGGCACAGTAGGGGCTGTTTTGCATCAGCAAAATCTTGTGTGGGTGATGAAGGGTCTTGGACACAACAGTAGCGTATGGGGGAACCAGGTCAGATGGGTTTGATGCTGGGATGCTATTTGTGTGTGGGCTTGGGCAGGTTTAATGATTGGCTTGCTGAAAGAACTTCGCAAAAGAGTTGTTGATCACTGTGATGATACTGGAGTAAACCAGTTTCTTGCAGGCTCCATCCAACATTCAGCAAATTCATGCTCGACAAATTTTCTGCCTCACAGAATCCTGCTGATGCAGTTTCATAATGCTTGGATATCATTCCAGTTCTCATTAAAATCCACATTTCGAATAAGAGGAGAAGGGTAGCTTTATTTAAACCATACCCGTCATCTTCTTTAGGACATATCTGGTGAGCCTATCATTTTTTAGTGATGTTTGATGCTTTCATAAGGTTCATTATCTCCTCTCTCATCATAGAGGGCGGTCATGTCATGCAGTTGATTTATAGGATATTTTATCTCGTTCTGTATGAAAATGAGAGAGATACAGTTACAGACATGTACTGCGCTTTTTGCATTGATAATTACTGATAACATAATGCAATAATAAATGCTAATTATCTCCACACAATTGCTTCTGGGAATTTGTTTCTGATGTCTTTCTCATAACCTCTTAATAATTGATGGAAGTTGGCTTTAATACTTTTTTTGCTTCAGTACATAATGTCATTTGAGAGTAATAGAATACAAACTGAAAAATTGTACAAAACACTAGTAACATTTAATGCAATGATTTTATAGATCATTTATATGGAAAGTAAATCGATTATATAACCCTGATAATCACTTGCCACTTAAGTTAGTGAGATTTTTATGGATGTTTGTATAGAGTTTTGGGTATTTAACTGTAGTGCAGTGTTTTTTAACAAGTTATTTTGTCTGCATTAAGAGTCTAGTTTTGCTGTTAAATCTGCCATAGATTCTGCTTCTGTATACTAGTATTCGTATTGAGAGTCAGGTTCCTTAGTAGTTTAGTTTGGAATTGAATGACGAATCGTCATTTCCTCTGTTGACTTAACTGAAAGCTTCACTTCTATTCTCGAGCAAGACCCCCCCTCTTCCTGATAGTGCTAATCCCCAGGACCAAGGGAGCTGATGGCGGAAATGCTTCTCGGCAGATTTTCAAGAAAAACACCATTGTTTTGGAGGAAGTGAGTGAAAAGAAGAATACTTGGAGTGAGTTAAAAAGTGCAATAGAGAAAGTCAGTGTACAAAGAAGGAGTCAAAAGAGAGGGTAAAGAAGCTATCTTTTCCTTGTTTCCTTTGGGAGTGATCTATGAGTGCTCCATGATTGATTCTCCTTTTCAGGTTTGCATTTAAGAGCTTCTTTCGTTTCGAATGCATGTGTATATTCATGTTCTGGAAAATGGTCATCTCTTTCCAATCACACCATTTTTTCTTGGACTAAAAGAGATTGATAATCAGATCTGAATTAATTGAAGTATACATTGAAGGGTTTAAACTGCTGGTTGGTTGTGAATGTTTGTGCTTAAACTACTTCTATCTTGATTGGTTGCAATTTGCTTATCATAAAATGTTCAATAAAATTTCTCGAGTTAAGGGAACTGAAATACAAATTGCAACAGACCTGATTTGTAAGTAGAGGGAAATAATAGAAGAAGATAGTAGTGCCGAAGAGAGCAGGTTCTTCAATGAATAAAGGATGATTGAAAGGATGGATACCTCTCTAACAGAAGGGAAAAATAGATTAGTTTCTGCATGCTTGTCATTAAAAAAAAAAAAAAGACGGAGAAGTAGCTTATAAGCTCAAATCTGAATCATGAACTTTAAGAGAGCTATTTGGAATTAAAATATTGAAAATAAATCAAGTTAAAGGCATGAAAGTAGAACCAAGATATAGTAGATAACTATAGTTTTTATCACCTATGCAAGTATTAGGGATTGTAGTGCAGGGTAGGATGCACTACAGTTTTATTCTGGTTCCTGGCACAGCAAGTTGAAGTCCCCACCTAATGTGTTAGAAGAAACTGAGCAATAAATATGAGCTCGGAAATGTTCAAGGGAAGAGGTGAACCAAAACATCCACTATCGAACGTTTGCCCTATCGGTTCTAATTAATAGCTGTAACCCAGTTTGATTATGGTGAAGAAAGAAGAGCAGACACAAGCATACTTTATGTGTAACATTTTAATTTATTTCTTATATGACTGCTGAAAATATTTTAAATTCTGGTTCTGTGTGATCTGTACAACTAAATCAAAAGGCAAAGAAGCCGGTATCCAAGAATGAAACCTATCATTACTGCTAAATTACTCCATTTATTTGATTCCTTCACTGTTCCACACCTTGTTGCTTCAGAAACCCCTCTCCATACAGATAGCAGTTTCCTTTTATGATCTCCAAGCTTTTCCTTTTTCCCTTCTCTCCCCCGTATTCGTTCATCATAGTACACTCAAATGGGTACTTAAACAAGCTCAAGCAATGCATGAAAATCCAATACTTGGGTATGCCATCCTTTGCTATGAAATACCCAGAGAAAAGGGAAAAGGAGACCAGCAATCAAAGATGTCCCCATGATGAAATTTGGCACAAGAACACTAAAACGCAACAAAAGAACTCGCCATCAAAACCACCATCCATACAACCACTGAGAAGTAGAGAAACCGGCCCATTTCCCTTCTCAATCCAACTAGCCAGTATACTGGGGTGCTGTAGAGGAGTGCAAAACTAAAAGGAATGGAAGGAAAACCAGAGTGTTTGATACAACATAAGAACTCTATAAGCTCCTTTTGAGGTTTCTTTCATTAGAATTCTTCTTTCTTGCAAGAAAATGGGCTGGCCTTCTGCTGTGGATGACAACGAGAAGGTGAGGCTGAAGACAAAGAACCCAATTTGAGTCTGAAGTTTATGTCTCTTAGGACCATTTGTTGCATTCATGAATACATTTCCAAGCACCACTCAAGCAAGTAGTGCTTGGAGTATTCTTGCTGCGAAGAGCTGATTGGTTCTGCAAATGATGTTGGAGAATCTATGACTCAGTATTAGGAGAATCTATGACCCAGTATTAAAACCTCCTTGAACAGACTGTTAGGGTAAATAGGTTCTTCAGGATTGCTGTATTGGTTCGCATTCCTTCTGATATGCTTATAATCTTGTGCTGTATCACTGTCTTCTATTTCACCTTCTTCAGTATCTTCCATGGCCAGAGCTTCTGTCATTTCGATAGCAAACTCAAGCACATTAACATGCCTAGGAATTGAATGACCAGCGAATCTAATACTCTGCGCAAGGAGATGCAAGGAACCATGATGCATAACAGTTCCATTTGATACCAACAGAATCTGATCGAACAGGTCGAGAATTTGGAAACCAGGTTGATGGATGGTTAACACGATTGCCTTATCTTGCCTTATAGTCATATTCTAGCGTATTGGCAGGTAAATAATAATTTAAAAAAAAAATTAAAAGAAGATTTTATATTTTTAAAAATATTTTTAAAGGAGACTTGTGTCTGCTAATAATACTAGATCCAAGAGTCCTAAAACTTAAGATTATACCAAATCAAATTTAATAAATCAAGTTGCACAAGATTTTTAGGTTGTTTTTTCAGATTTAATAATTATTTTTTTATTTTTCATCTTTTTTTATTAATTATTATTGACCTTTATGATTTGTTTGGTATAGTTTCCATGCAGTTATTATCTTCTCAATCTCATATCATCTTCTCAATCTCATATCATGGGTTTTGTAGTTTAATTATAGTTGGCCTGAGTTGATTTAATATGCTAATATTTTAATATTTTTTAAAAAAATATCTCATTTAATATATTAATATTAAAAGAAAAAACATTATTTACTATGCATCAAATTTTTGACTTCATCTATATTTTTATTAAGTTTAAAAAAAATATTATTTCACTCATAACATTGACAACATTGAGTAAGGCGTGTAATAGAAATAGTATGACATCACAAAGATATTTCAAATCTATATTTTTATTAAATTTAAAAAAAATATTATTTCACTCACAACATTGAGTAGTGCGTGTAATAGAAATAGTATGGCATCACAAAGATATTTCAAATTATAATATAGGGTGCTTTTTAAAATATTTTTTTGAAAATATATTAAATAATTTTTTTTATATTTTTGTTTTTGATATCAATATATTAAATTATTTAAAAATACTAAAAAACCATCCATTTATTTTTTTTCAACTCAAAAATAAAGTCAGAAGCACAACCTACAAGGCTCCTTATTATCTTCATCACCTTTTTATTGTGTGCTTTAATAGTTTAAATCTGGAGTGGGCTTGGCAATGGACAAGCACATTAGCATCAATCTTTCTAGATGGGCCAGTCTTAGAGCCTAGAAAATCAGTCTGTTAAGCCTGAAGCAGTGAATTAAGCAATGCCCATTGCCTAAAGTGATGAGTCAATTCGGGATCCGGCTAACTTGGAGCTGAAATCAAATTAGATTAAAAAAATAAAAAAATTTAGTGTGACTTAGGTAATCTAACATATTGACCTGGTGATTTGATTAACTAGACCTGCTTAAAAATTTAGTTATAATTTGTTAATTTTTTTTAATAAAAATATTAGACTATGCATTTCATATGGTCCATATTTTTTTAGTATAATTACATTTTAAAATTTTTATTGGAGTCCCCGATACTATATTCATCTCAATAAAAAGAAATTATGTTACAACATCTTAAAATGTTTGTTCAATTGCGATTTTGGATTATAAAAAAGTTTTTTTTTTTTTGAAGAAGTGAAGGGATATAAAAAAATCAGAATTTGTTTAGCATAGTTTGTGAAAAGTGATTATTGATTTTGAATCATAATATTTTTTTTATATAAATAAAGTTAGTACTATTTTGATAAAATAATTTAAATCATTTTCTTATCAAAGAAATAGAATATAAGTTAGAGTTTATAAATTAAAAGTTTTAAATCTTAACTTTTAATCTATTAAAAATTTGACTGAATTTTATAGCAAATTTTCATTTAAGTTAAAAGTTATTTCTAACCTAATGTTTTTTTATGAATTAGTTTTTTTAGAAATAATCTAAATTAATTTAAAAAAGTCATAACATCTTAGCGGTTATTAAAATTCAAATTTCTCAAGAAGAATTATTAAAAAGAAAAGAAAAGGGAAAGCAAGCATAAGAAGATAAGCTCCATCCTACTTCCACGTGTATGAACATCATTCAAGAACGTAGATTCGGAGCTTATGACATGGCGAGAGGGACACCATCAATCCTGGCTCCTGCAACTATGTTTTTCTGCTCTTCAAGTTCCAAGCCAGTTATTGTCTTTCCAGTTTCTACACTGCAGGGGATCCCCCCCACCTCTCTTTCTCTGCTTGAATGGCATTGTCTTCACATATCCAGAACTTGTCTGTTCTCTCAGTAAGCAAAACTATAGAGAATGGCAATGGAAGAAGCAGAGCAAGAATGGTTGTTAAGATGGCAGCATCAACATCAGATATGGCAGCCGCTTTTGAAGAGGGAAAGCTAGAAAGGCCTAAGTGGTCAGGACAGACGCCTCTCTCTCGTCTTGTTGGAGCTCTTATTGCTTTTAAGCCTCTCTCCTCTGTTCTCAAACTTGGTGCCAGACAAGTCCTTATAAGGTCCCATTACTTAATTCCCCTTTATTTACAAGACTAAATGTGCATGCATTTCCCTTTTTTTACACACGTTAATTTTTTGTGCTGCTCGATATTGCTGGTGTTGAAATTAGCAGGTTGGCATTGGTTATGCATAATTTCCTAATTTTTCTAATTGAATGGCTTTCTCATTGACTTGAATATGGATTTCTGAATGTGTGGAACAGAACAGCAGAGAAAGGGAACATTCCATGGAGAGAAATGACAAAGGAGATTTTGGAATCAGATGTGTATAAGGAGCTGGAGAGCATTCAAAATCCCTCACTTGTTTATCCAGATTGTGGGTATCTTAACCTATTGAATTCCTTTACATAATGATTCTCTTCCTCACACTCTGTAGTCAGTTTTCTATTTGCTTGTAATTATGTTTGACTGGTTAGATTTGTTCATATTTCAATTTGAGCTAAACCTTTTTATGACATTTAAGTTTAATCTTCGCGGCTAACATCCCTATCTTGATCTATAGTTGCTTGCAATCTCTATTGGAACACTTGCATGCTTCAAGAAATTTAAATTGAACTATGAGGTTAAATTTTAAAATTTTGGAGGTCTGTCCCTGTTCTTGGTGGGTTACTACTTGCTATTTTCTCACTTTATTATGCTCTTCATACTTCAGTGATCAAGTAATCTAACTAAAACAAGCTGGTTCTATTTTCAGATTACCTAAATCCTTTCCATGCTTACGACGAGGGAAATCTTTCATGGCTGGCAAGTATTTATTACTCAGTCTCAGTGACATGGTTTTGTATGCATCATTGGATGTATCTCCTTTCTGTGATTTAACAGTTCTGCTGAATGTATTCTTGATTACTTTATTTAGTGCTTCCTACTTACTACTTAATGTTTTTCTTTTGAATGTCAAATTCTTGCCCCCAAATGAGCAAAAAATACAGCCTATATTCTTTTCTGTTCTGCAAGCTCAAGTAGTGCTTGTAGATTCTGGTTGTCTTCCTGCTCGTATTTATCAAGCATGAATCACATGCTATAAAGCATCCGTACAGGATGAAGTTAAATGTTATAGTCTTGTTAGTTTCCTAAGTGCAATAACATGAAAGAGAGGATGATCCTATGGTAGCCATATGTCTAATGTCAGGCTGCAGCTGAAGCTGAAGCTGCAACCATGTCAATGGTGAGGCGAGCAATACCTAATGCTTCTACAGTAGATGAAGCAAATCAAGTAGTGCGTGGAAATTGGCTTCAGGCAATTGAACAGCATCATCTACAGTACTCTGGGACTACCATGATTAGAGACATTCTAGATATTGGATGTTCTGTTGGTGTTAGCACAAGATTTCTGGCTGACAAGTTTCCTTCTGCTAATGTCACTGTAAGTCCGATCCTCAAATTTTCTGAGATCATTTCAACTGTCCTTTACAGATGATACAATGCAATGAAAATAATATTCTCACAAGTTTTAATGGCTGAAACTTGTTTATTTTTTTCCATATGCGGATCCCAACCTGCAGGGGCTAGATCTGTCACCTCACTTTCTTTCCGTAGCTCAATTCAAGGAAAAGAAGGTAGGTTCTAGAAAGAATCCTATTAAATGGATGCATGCTAATGCAGAAGACACAGGCTTTCCACCCCAATCATTCGATCTTGTTTCAGTTTCATATGTGGTATGTGCTAGTCTCTAAAGCAGTACGCTTCTTGATATTCTGGAATGTTTTGATTAAACATGATGCCTTTTCTTTAGCGGCCATCCATTTCTAATATTAGCACAGAGAGTTCACTTCCCTAACATAGTAGCAGGATTACAATCAGCTTTAGAAGGAAGCAAATAAAACTGTTGAAGTATAAGAATTGGTAATTTATTAAAAAAAAGAAGCCCCACATCATGTTTAACCGTCAGAGAGATTGGTGTGATAATTCAAGCATTGACCAAGATTCAAGCATGAATAAATTGAATTTTGAAAGCTTCTGGTGTGTAATAATTTCAGATACTTATGCTTTCAACCCCCTGAAATATATGCAGTTTCATGAATGTCCTGAAAGAGCAATAGTTAACATACTGAAGGAAGCATTCAGGCTACTTCGTCCTGGAGGCACAATTGTTGTGTCGGATCAATCAGTAAGCATCCATGCCTATATAACTTTGGAAAAAACATAATAATTCTCCTACTGCTGTAACATTATTAATGTGATATTTATGCTCTCTTATGCAGCCAAAGTCAAAGATCCTACAGGTATGGTTCTAATTCTACCATTACACACCATAGATTTATCTGTGTAATTGTGTTGCATGTTAATGTCATGGATATATCAGTCGCAAATCAAAAATTTGAGAAAATCGATTTTGTTTGGGCATATGGTGAGAATTGTCAGGAATTTGAGATTTCTTTCTGTCAGGGTTTTGCAAATATAAATCGTACATGAATTTTCACAAACATGCTATAAGCAAATTGAAGCCCTTGCCTGTTCATGTGTTGTAGGAAATGTCTCCAGTTCTGTTTACATTATTGAAGAGCACCGAACCATTTCTCGACGAATACCATCTGACTGACCTAGAAGGAAGAATGGAGGAAGCTGGCTTCATAGAAGTACAAACAGGTCTCACAGATCCAAGACACAGGACCTTGACAGCAACCGTGCCTTGTTAACATGTATCCTCACTAAACTGATCACTGCATTAGCTCCAAGCACTTCTCTGAATGGATAGATGAGTAGAAAGTCGGTCATCTTGTTGCTCTATATGCTTCTAACCAGCCAGCTCATCGGAGACATGAAATATATTTGTTTCTTTGATGCCAATTGTCAATAAACTTTACAGAAATTTTGCGACTGCTTGTTCTGATTGGAATGTATAAAACTTCGCTAGTGCTGTTATGATGCGATCAAGCAACTTCATAGTATTAAATTCATGATGGTATATGGGGGTGAGAATTTAATCTGAGTCCATGAATGCTCACCTAAATCGACCTGAAAGAGTACAGTGGATCTTTTTTGGATAATTATTAATTTAGAGTGGATATTAACATTAATTAACAAGAATTAATTGAGGAGGCCTCTCCTCACATGTTATTGTTCACAGCAACAGTAACTTTTTTTTTTCTTTTTTATATTTAAATGTTGGGTCTTTTAAAAATTAACTTTATTATTTATACCATGGTATTCGAAAAAAAAAATATTGGTATTGGATTGATATTTAATTTTATAAATATTTATTTTTTTTCTATTATATTATTAAATAAAAAATAATTTTAAAAAAAATTAAAAAAATATATGATTATTATGAATTAGACTTAATGATTTATTTCAAATTTTTTTGTACGACAATCTTAAAAAAACACGTCGGCATTGAGTTAGTGCTTAATTTTTTTTAGCATTTATTTTTTATCATATTATTAAATAAAAAATATTCTAGAAAAAATAATTAATGAGAATTAGGTTTTAAAAATTTATTTTGATTTATTTTTTATAGTGGTCTTAGAAAAACATTTCAGTTGGTATTTAGTTTTGCAAGTATTTATTTTTTTATCATATTATTAAATAAAAATAGTTTTAGAAAAATTTTATTAAATTTAATAGAGTTCATGACCTAGATCGCGGGTTTGACAAGTTAACTAAAGTTGATCCAAATTGATTCAATATGTTATCATTTTAATATTTAAAAAAAAAATATCATCTTGAAAATATTTTTAAAGATAAATCATGTTTCTATTAGTCGTCTGAGTTTTCTCTAATTTATCAAGTCAATGGAATTATATTAGGGTTATTTTTATATAGTTTAATTTGAAACTTAAGTTAAATAAAACATATAGTTGAGATGTTCTAAGTTCTACATGTGGGGTTGAGTTTAATGACACTATTAGCATGTTAAAAATCTTGTTTTCACTGCATCATTAGCATGGAAATTATCCAGTGGATATCTAAAATTCTTGTCCACTAAATAATAGATAAAATATAAGTATTATTAAACTTAATTTAAACTCAAAACATATACGTTAATATTGTATACATATTTATGTGAAATATTTATAGTTTTTAAATATAACATTAAAAGAAAAAACTAAAGGGGAAAGAGAAATTATTTCACCCCATGACACAAAACATTATTTGAAATTATTGCACCATGAGATAAAATATTATTTGTTGTAATAGTAAAACGATAAAATTGCTCTTAAGTCATTAAACTTTTGAACTAAGATGGTAGATAAAATGATTTTTTCATCATGACACAATTATTTTTTATAAATTATATAGAGTTAGATTAGTTATTTTATTTTTTATTATACAATAAAATTACTAATTTAATTATAGAATAAAAAAATTTAATGCATATTATTGAGGCGTTTTGGTCTTCTTATTTTTTTTCTAAATATTATAATTATTTTCTTGTCCTTAAAGAAAAAAATCAATATAATTTTCTCATAAATTTTTTTTTATCATTTTACATTGATTTTATTATAAATTTGAATGTCATTTAAGAATATTATTATATTTGATATATATTAAATATTATTGAAAAAATAATAAGGTATGCGTAGCATGCGTTTGCATATGAATAACCCTCGTATTGTTTAGACAGCGTGTTTAGGGCCGTCCAACTACCAAATGCTATCTTTGAGGGCTGTGTTTAGAAGGCCCCGATGCTTCATTCACAATAGGGAGGCCTGTGGACTAGAAACATCTCTAGTTTGGTGCCAGCGATAAATGTTTTTCCACCCTCCCTGCCTCCTTTTTTATCTTTTTCCTCCTTGAAATCAATGTTATCCTTCTCAAGAATTTAGACCAACCCTTCAATTTATATTTTCTTTACATTTATTTTTTTTATTACTATTTTTTTAACTTTGGATAAGTCATTAAATTATAAATGTTTTTTAATTTTACATTCTTTTACTTTTTAATCTTTAAGAACTAGTCCTCATTATTTTTATTACTATTTTTTTTAATGAACTATAAAATTACCATTTTTTTTTCAATTTGTCCCCATTTCATTTTTTATTATTTCAAAATTTTGTATCTATTATTTTTATTACTATTTATTTTGTTTGGAATCAATTTTTTATATTTTTTTTCTTTTTCCAATTTTATCATTCATGAGTTTATTTTTTCTATCAAATCTGATCTTCATTTTTTTTTAATCTTTTCTTCTTTTGAAAGTTTTTAAAAATGATATTTTTTACAATTTCATCTTTCAAAATTAAATTGATTAGAAATTAAATTTTTTGATTGAACTACGATCAAGGATTTCATGAGTTGCAAATTTTAGAGGTTAGACTAAGTTTACGATGTTTGCTCGGGATGACTTGTTTTCTTTTTTTAAAAAAAAGCTAATGTTTTTTTTTTTACCCTTTTTAAGAGTTTTGCTTTATTATTGTTTACATATTGTCTTTTATAGGATTAGTCTTGGGTTCATAATTGGAGTCACTAATTTTCAAAACTTGACATGAGTTGTTTTTTATCCTTGTCCTTTTTTATATTGATTTATTTCACTTTCTTCCTTCAACATTTAATTTATTTGAAATTAATTTTTCTATCTATTTGTTCTTTTCTTTCTACTAAGTTATTTGAAATTGGACTCATATTTTTTTTCGTTGCTTAAAGTTAGTCCGTCTTCATGACTAGATTCACTACTTTCAAAGGTTGATGCAGATTGATTTTTTTTTTGTTCTTTTTAAATTGATTTATTTCAATTTCAATCTTCAAAATTTAATTCATTAAAAAGTGGTTTTTGTATTTTTTTTTTATACAGGATTATCATGATCTTGTGCTCATGGTCACGAGATTTGCAGGTTAACTCGGGTTGACTTATATTTTTATTTATTTTTTAAATTTTAATTTTTTTTATTTTCATCTTTCAACATTGAGTTTTTCGACGATTAAGCTTCATAATTTTATTCAATTTGCTTTTGAATGTAGTCCCTTTAATATTATAAACATGTCAAAAAATTTGCATATTGATATGGGTAGGGACAAGTTTTTTTTTACCTTTTTTTTAATTATATATATTTTTAAATTTTTTTTCAACATTTTATTTGATAAAGACTGGGATTCTTTTATTTATTTATTTATGGAGTTATCCTCATATTCTCATTTGATTTATTAGGAATTGGTCTTTGAATTTTTTTTTCTTTCCTGCATTATTTTTTATGAGATTATTGATTAGTACTTAAAAGTGCATTTTTATCAAGATTTTATATCATCATTTTGCACTTGAAGTATCAATAACTCCTTAACTAGAGCATGTTTTATAATAACAAGTCTGATAATATAATATACCTTTAATTTTTGGTAAATGCTTATTTTAAATGCAGGTATTCTCATAATTCAAAGGATTGATTGTTGTGATTAACTATTGGAAGTAAAAGGACAGAGAAAAGGCTAAACTTACTAAGGAAATGCCGATTCACTTCAAATTCGAACATTGTTCAGTCATCGGATCATATCTAGAGCTATAGATCTTGGATTTCATATTAATTTATATGGCTGGAAAGATAAGAAATAGGCCTACAACTTTCATGGGTATGGAAAGACCCAAATTTGCCATTTTTAAATTTAAAGTTTGGCCACAAAAGAGAAGTCTGAATCTGTCTTACAATTCAACCCAAACACTACTCAAAGTTTTACCCATAACTAAAGTTCTAAAAGTCCAAATGATCTAAAATTTGATGGGTGGAAGAAAAGACAATTTTCAACAACTTTCATGAATAGAACCAGCTCAAAGTTGGATGGTAGAAATGAGATTTCATCCAGACAAGAGTATGAGGGCTATCCACCACATTCACCAGCAGCACTACTCAGTATTTTAGACATATCTCAAGTTGTAATGCTTCAAATGATCTGAAATTTGGTGGGTGGAAGGAAAAGATAATTTCCAATAACTTTCATAAATAACACTTTGTCAAATTCGAATTGCATCAATGTCAATTTAGACAGCCAAAGTGCTTGAGTGATGCTGTACATCAAGTCCACTAATCAATAGTTGGCCACTACATCAATTATCAATTACCAGTATGGTGTTATGTAAATAAGATGATTAATATGATCATGTTGATAATTAATAAAGAGTTTATACCTTACTTATCTCTAATACTATTAACGTATCCTCTAACATTGACATTTGTTTTTATCATTGTATAATCTTCACTTTAATCTTACATCTCAAAGTCCTATTTAACTCATCTTCACCACCATCATCATTGTTGTTATTATTATTGTTGTTATTCTTATTCTTATTCTTATTCTTATTATTATTATTTATAATTTATATAGTTAACTTCTCTGTGGTTCGACTCCGGTCTTACCGGGTTATTTATTATTTTGACACTTCTGCACTTAGGATAAGACATCAACTCTTTAATCGTGTCAATTATCTTAATTTTATATCCATGATTGTGATATTTGTGAGTTAACTTGATTTAACTGGTTTTTTTTTGTTTTTTTTTGTTTTGCCCTTCAACATTTAATTGTTTCATAGTCCTAGTAAGCTTATAAAAGGTTCTTTTTATCTTTTTTTTTTGTTATCAATTTATTTATTTTTTGCTTTTTAAATCATAATATTTAAATTATCAAGTGATTAAATTTTTTCCTTAATATTTTTTTATGTTGAAAACTTTTTTGTTAGGTATGTAGTGAAGCGCAAACCACAAATCTAATATATACTGCTCACACTAATATTAACATTACATATAATAAATAGGGTATACATATTTAAATATTTTATTTAATAGATAATTAATAAAAAATAAATATATTTTTTGAATATAGGTAAAGGTGTGAATATACTATACATATGATCTGTGGATGTCCATCATCATTAATATTTATAATATACTATAATTTCTTATCCAGTGGTTTTGATATTTATAATATATTATAATTTCTTATCCAGTGGCAAATTATGAGTTTGAGCAAAACTGTAAAGAAAAAAAATATTAAAATAAGTGCCCATTGCATGAGAACACAACAATGCATCGAAGTAAATAGATTACTAGCATTGTGGGTTTTTTTTTTAATAGAAAAAATATTTAGACATTAATACTGTGTTTTCTTAAAAAAACAAAAAAGTAATCATGAATGATATATTGATTTAAAAAAAAAATTAAAAAAAATATATATTATATTAATTTAAATTAACCTATGTTAAGTAATTAAACTCGTAACTTGAATTATAAAACTGTAATAACTCAATAAAAAAATAAAAATATTTAATTGTTAATCAATTCGATGTTCATAAATAAAAACAAAAACAAAAACATTCAATTAAAAAAAAAAAAAAAAATTTACATCAACATACTAAACCCATAATCTATATCATATATTTTACTAAATTTAATAACTTTTCTCTCTTAAATTATTTTCCATTTAAACACTCAATAACCAAAGGTGTGGACTTCTTTTGTATCAATTAAAAAAAAAGAAGATAAGCGTGTAGAAAAATAAACATATTTTTTTTTATAAAAAAATTAATAGCAAAAGAAGGTTTGTTTAACGTCAAATAACAAAAAATTCGTTAAAAAAAAACAAATTAAAGGATTAAAAATACATTAAATAATAAAAAAAAGTAACCATCATGCCATATACCATGACCTTCCCACGCGCCTAAACCATAAAAAAGGCTTGGCACGTGTCAGTACTTTTTTCTCCAATACTAGAAGATAGACAATATATCATTCATTCTTTAAAAAATAAAATAAAAATAGCAAACTTGAACCAGACAACGTGTTATTTGTGTCTTTATAGTCCAACTACCAGAGAGTCACTAGAAAATCAGGATAAGGGGCATTTTTTGCTTTATTTTTTTTTAACTCTAAAAATTCTAGAAAATACTATAAAAATATTGATAAATTTATTTATATCCTCAAATTACCCCAAAACTTATCCAAAATCTCAAAACCAGCTCTAATTCAAAAAACTTCTCAAACTAAGATCTACTTTGTAAATAACACTTTAATAAAACTTTTTTTTTATCAAATGTAATATATTGACATGAAAAATAATTTTGTTTTGGATAAAATCAGTGCCAACATATATTTTGATGATTTGTTTCTTTTATTTCTTAAATCAGAGACTAAAATAAAAAAGAAATGGATTTTTGAATCAAAATTAAATTTTAAAAAACTAAGGGGACCGAAAAGTGACTATTTATAAAGTATGAGGACCAAAGAGTGTTTTTGTTTAATTTTGAAACAATCACTTATTTTCTCATCTTTTAGCTTTGATTATTTGTCTTTTAATCTTGCCTTTTGTTAACAATTTAGAATCAAAGACAATAAGTTTGGGGATTAAAATAGAAAAAAAGAGAAAAATCATTGTTCGAATCTTTAATAATTTGTGAAAAGTTTAGAAGGAACTAGTTAGTTCAGGTTAATCCATCTAACTCGTTGTATTTCGTCTTTGTATAAGCAAAGGAAAACAACGAGACAGAGACAATTCCCTCTGCAAACTCTATGTCCCTGTTTCTTAAAAACCCACTTGTTTTTTTGCCCCTAAATTCCCATAAAGTCCCAAACTTTCTCTCTGTGAATTCATACTTCCATTGCTCTCTGATCCAAATTTCCGTGTCAAGATTTAATCTTTCTCTCTCTAGAGATCATGGAGAAAGTAGAGAAGGCACCAAACGATCCAGAGAGTGAAGAAACTGAAGCCATTGAGCTTATCCTCTATCAAGTCTCTGAATGCTATGTATATCTGGTAGCTTTCTCTTTCTTTATCTGTGTGTTGTACTGTCTTAAAATTTATGTTTTGTGGATGTTTCTTGTGATTTTGAAATTGGGTTTTTGAGATTTGTAGTGATCAATGATCTTTTGAGTTTTTTGTATATAACCAGCTTTGAAAATATGTTCCTTTTCCAAAAAACGAAGTCCTTAAAAGAAAATTGGATTCTCAGTTGTATGGATTGGAGAACAGAACTTAGATTTGAATTGTTGTAGTTAACTGAACATCAGAAAAAGTGGCAATCAGCACTGTTCCCTCCTTTTCTTTTGATTAGTTCTAAGGAAATGAAAATATAATAAAAATGTATGTGAATTGTGTTTTAGAAGTTCCGAGGTGGGTTTTAGGTGTTGCTTTATTGTTCTTAAAGAAACATCATTGATTAAGGGTTCTTATTTTTTGGTACTTGTGGACTGAGTACTGATGGTGTTAATCATTGATTGGGTAAAATTGATGAAGGGACCAACTTACAATTGACATTGATGTTTGAAATTAAAATATATAATAGAAGTAGTTATATTACCTTGAGAGATCTCATCACGGTCAAACAAGATGCGGTATATAAAAGTCAGAAACTGCTGATCTTGCATCGAGAAGTGATTACTGGCTGCTACTTAAAGAAACAAGGCTGATTCCGAGAGATCTTGGCATAGGAAATTTTAAATTTTTGGAAAGAATTCAGTTTTATGTGGGCACCTCAAACACTTACATTTCTAGTTTTATAATAAGTTTGTGGATTATGTCAAATTAAGGGCCAAGGAAAGAGCTATTTTCTCCCTTTTCCAGTGTACTGCCTTTGTTATTGACTGCCGTCCTTTCCCTGTTAATTTTTGTAATAATGGAAGGCAATGCTCTAAAAGCAATTTTGATAGACATGCATTAATTATGTTCACTTAAGGTTCATATATAGCCATGCTAACCGACAGTAATTACTTTTTTTCCCTTAATTTGTTTCAATCTGAAAGTTTTCGATCATTATATCCTCTAAAAGCACAGGTGTATGACTTCAGTCTTTTTTCTGCTAGTAAAAAGTTCATTTTTTCATGCTTGCCTTTATGTTATTGATATTTTTTTTCCCAATTTCTCGTTAATATAAATCTTAAACTGTTACCTTGACGTTAAACTCTTCTACATATCTGTTCATGGTCTGTGTATCCGTTGCAGATGTTTGAAAGCTTACATGTTCAGATATGTCTATGCAAGTCTAAGCTGTTTGATATCTTTTAGGCTTTTCATTAAACTTGAATATCTTATAGGATAACATCTATGCTTAACTTTCTGCTCTCACCTGTTTTCATAGCTAGTCAGCGGCAAATCCATCAAAATTTGATTTTTTAAAAAACAAATTATGCTGTATCAAAAACCACCCAGAGTACAGATTTATGCCATTTTGGAAAATGATTACATTCTTCTTACATACCAGCTGCATCTCATAATTTTCCTCTTATTTTCTTTGTTATCTAAATGCACTAGGTAGCTTTTTGCTGATTAAGACAATTGAAACAAGATAGTAGTTGCTAAGCTAATTCATTTATTCTTTCTGCAGATACCACCCAGGAAAAGTGCTGCTTCTTACAGGTTCTTGCTCAACTTGTCATCTAATGCCTGATTAGTGATATTGATGAGACATATTTTCTAAATGATGTCTTTCATACAATATTATTGCTATTTTGAAATATGAAGAAGTTGATTCATTCAATTTGTAGTGTTGCTCAGATTCTCTTGATTATGGAAATAGGGTTCATCGATCTACTTAGGAGTTGGGCTTTAATTGACACTCATGACCTAATAAGGATGTAGATGCACAAAGAGCTTTTCTAATAGGAATTGTTGACAAAAGTTTTTTTCCTTCTTTTGCGAATCAGGAGATAGACAGAAGAACAACAAGGCATCTCAAAATACTATAAGTAATCTTGTATTTTTTTTTTACAATATGCTTGGGAATTATAGGTTGGGAAAATTATATTCAAAAAACCCGTTTGATTTCTAAAAGAAACTTAAAATCTAAATTTACTTTGTTAAATACAACCTGTTATGAAATCCAGTCTCTCCATACCCTTTCTTTGTTTTTTTTTTTTTTCCTGCAATCAAATGCAGCCAGGCATATAATGCCATTGAATATTTGAATCTATGGACTATATTTACTGCTTAAACTTGTTTTCACCTATTGGATATGGTTATTTATATCTCTAGAAGGGTATTTCAGGGCTGATGAATGGGATGTCAACAAATGGGCCTGGGAAGGGACTTTGAAAGTCATTAGCAAGGGTGAAGAGTGCATTATCAGACTTGAAGATAAAACCACAGGTTATATTATCTTTGGATTGTTATGGTGCAGAAAATGGTATAGTGTGTTTCGCTGATGGACTTTGCATGCTTTGATTTAATTTGTATAGGTGAATTATATGCGCGGGCATTTTTGAGAAAGGGGGAGCTACATCCAGTGGAACCTGTAATTGATAGCAGCAGGTTAAGCCTATTTCTCACTGAATCTTAAGCTTATCTTTGTTGTACCATTTGTTTTATTGATAAGAGTAATTATATATGCCCTATAGGCATAAATTTAATACATTAAGCTTAACTGGAGGTTGGTTCTAACTGAATGCCCATAAAATAGTGTCTTGACTTGAGGGTATATAAACAAACATCTTTTCTTTTGCAGATATTTTGTTCTGCGGATAGAGGAAAATATAGGTGAGCTACCATGCCTGCCTCCAAGTTCATTATTCAACAGAAGATTTTACTTCTATATTCAGCTGAATTACTCTTAGCTTTATCGGAATGGATTGCCAACTTCCGTCCTATATTATTGCAGTTAATTTTTCAGATTATAACTTATTTAGAATTTGTTAATGATGCACAATCCCTTTGATCTTCAATCTCTAATCCTGCTGATGCAGTTTCATAATGCTTGGATATCATTCCAGTTTTTTTTTTTTTTTTTCCGAATGTGACTGCCTCTATGAAAACTATTAAACCCCTTTGAATGATCTGCTCGCATTTTTTATCCCCTTTACCTTAGATTTATTTTCAATTTCGTTACTAAATCAGCTGTCTGGAATTATGCAGGTGGTCGCCTTAGGCATGCATTTATTGGCATAGGATTTAGAGAAAGAACAGAAGCTTATGATTTCCAGGCGGCGCTGCATGATCACATGAAGTATGTTCAAACCCATAAATGTATCATTTACCTTTTCTTTACATAGTTCATACTCCACGTATCCTTTGTATTGTGTAGTTGATATTTTATATGGATTCTCATATAGAGATAAAATTCCCACCAGCAAAAAGTTGATTAATATAGGCATTCTCTCATTTTGTTTATTTAAGATATCTGGACAAGAAGAAAACTGCGGAAGAGATGGAACAGCATTTTCAGGAAACTTCCTCGGTTGATTACAGTTTAAAAGAAGGGGAAACTCTTGTACTCCAAATGAAAAACGTAAGCTCATGTGCATCTACATTTCCCAACTATGTATGTATGGATACGTTAAGCATCCTAATATCTATTGAAATTTATTATTCTTGTATGACAGAAACCTAGAGGTAGTGTGAGGTCCAAGTTTTTCGAGCAGGGTCTGAACAATCTGTCATTGGAGGGGAAGAGCGATGGAAAAGAACCCTTGCTTAGCATCAGACCGCCTCCGCCTCCCCCAGCACCACTTTCACCCGCTACAAGTGTACAGAATTCTCCATCAAACTTGCCACAAAAAATTACTCTTGATGGAAATTCTACTGAAAAATCCCCCAACTTGGCAAAGGATGAAGCAGAACACCAGCATTTTCCTGACAATGAAAGCTCACAAGATATACAAGATGATGATTTCGGAGATTTTCAAGCAGCTGGGTGATGAGGACTAGAAATTGACATTTATAATCAAATCCCTCAACCTCCTTTCTTGCTTTTGTGGGATTGGAGTTCTCAAGGGCTTAGATAGAGATCCAACTATGAGATTTTGATTACCATGTTCTGTGAAATATCCAGTAAATATTACGAAAAGTGGATTTACCCTTCCGACCGCATAACGCTGCTGAGATTGATTTACCTTTTTCGCCAGCAGATGTCTAATTACAAGAGGCTAATGTGCAATCAAACAACTGCTCCAATTGCAATTGGCTTCATTTCTCAACGCTTTCAAAATCATGTTTTTAAAGATTTTGATTTTTTAAAAATTTTCATATTCTTAGGTTGTTTTAATGTCTTAATATTAAAAATATTTTAAAAAAAATATTATTTTAATATATCTTCAAATAAAAATATTTTAAAAAATAATTGTTATTACAAAACACCTTAATTGTTCTAACTAATGTCTCCGTAGTGTCTATAGGGATTTAGGTTTAAATTCAAGAATTCTTTTTGTTAAGGTGTGGATACTTGTCTAAGATTTAATTAAAAATATTCAATTCAATTATAAACAAATTAGTTAAAAATACCAATATGATTAAAATAAAAAAAAACTAAGAAAAAACCAAAGTTGTAATCCCAAGGTTTTGTTGTATATGCATTTCGTGTTTATTTTTGTATTATAATTTTAATATAATGTTAATAAAAATAATTAATTTTTGAAAATCATCTTCCACACCACAATACTGAATATATAATGATATTATAATAGTTTTTGCAGTTACAATTTGAAGAAAATAAATTTAAAAAAAAACTATAAATTATAGTTTTTTCTTAACCAATATTTCAACAAATAGTTTTTAATAGAATTTACACAACATTACTTTTAAATTTATAATTAAAACAAAATACAAGAGGAACATATCAAATATTATCTAAGCTGACGTTCAAATCTGTTAAACCAATTACTCAGAGCCATCATTTAAAAATCATAACTAAAATAATCTGTAACACAAACCTACAGCACAGACGTTCTTGACAAGAAACAATCCTAGAAATTTCATTTTCAGATTCCCAGAACTATTAAAGCCTGCTTTGTTATTCGTTCAAGATTCCCAAATACCTTCCAATTCATTTTCAAAACGAACATGTTGCTCCTTACCAGCGCAAAAAGAATTTCATTCCACCCAGATTTAACAAGACTTCTTTAAGATTTTAGGCTCTAATATTCCATATTCCTTACAACTCCATTCTTCATATTTATATAATAATTACATAACTTTCAGTAAAGAGATTAATTTGATGGTCAAGAAGGTGGGTTCTCTCTCTTAAGCTTTCGCTACTGCTCTGGTGAGTTTCCTCAAGCAAGTAGTTTCTTCATGAGACACGCAGTTAGAGCACCGGACGACTCCTATTATTTGAGAGTTTATCTTTGATGTTCTATTTCACTCCATGATGAGGGTTCTTTTCACCTTTTTCTTGTGAAACTATTTCATTATCGATCATTAAGAAGTACTTAGTCTTATGAGGTGGTTCTTGCTGATTTACAAACTTTTATATATTTGGCCCATTATGCATTTTATTTTTTTTGAATTGAATTTTATGAAAATAAATAACTTTAAAATATATTTCTTAATGGGATAATTGCAAAATACCTTGTCATTTTTATTTCTTTTTAAGGTTTGAGAAATTATAATTTCTTCTCTTGACTTTATACAAGTGCTAACATTTAATACCCAAAAAACCCCCGAATGGAGCCTAAAATAACAAGATTTCAGCGACAACTTCTTTAACCAATGAATCAAATATTTGGCTTTCAAGCTATACTCCAAGTGCATATGCATCTACTTCAAAGTCCAACCATCTTCCATGTTGTCTGTTCATGTCCTTGTCTACAAGCTCATCTACCATACAAACCTCCATCCTGCTCCATTCAGAGACCTCCTTATGTTGTCTGCTCATGTCCTTGTCTACAAGCTCATCTACCATACAAACCTCCATCCTGCTCCATTCAGAGACCTCCTTGTATACATGTTCAACCAACCATTCCTTTCTTCTCGCCATTGTTGTCCCTTTCACCCATGCTTTGCATCCACCACTAACATATCGTCTATATCTCAAATCCAGGCATTTACTTGCACAATCAAATAATACTTCATGCTCTAGCCTAGCATCAACATCTTCATTTTCAAACATGTCTTTTTACCCTTTCCTTACCCATTTATTTTTATATCATACCCACCTAGTATCGTTCAAAGAGATTAAGAACTTGTCAAAGAGTATGATAGCCTTTTGTTTTTAGGTGTTTTTCAAAAAATTATATATGCATAGAAAAAACATTAAATTAGTGTTTTTATATGAGTATGTTATGTTATTATAAAGAAAGAGATTGAATAGAGAAATCTTATTTAAGAGAAAGAAATGAGGTTTATGAAAAAATTGTGCAAATTTACATTTATTGTATACAAAATAAATATCTTTTGTTTAATTTGATTTGTTTCTGAAAAGAAAAACCATAATTTCTCAAATTTTAAATGAAAAATGAAAAAAGAATCAAAATATAGGAGATTTTTTATAATTATTCTTTTTTTTTAATTCAAATACCAAGATTAGTATTATAATAAATTTAATTTTGAAATACATTAATAAAATTAATGCAATGTTATAATAGATTGTTTCACATACATAAAAAAATAATAACAACAAAAAAATCTTATGACTTCTCAATGAAATTAACAACTTAATTGATTTTTTATTGTTATTGTTTGTTAATATTGAAGTGGGCTTGACAGAAGATTTTCTACCCGCCTAAACTGGATTCAAAGCACCAACCACCTCTTTATCATGTTGGACAAAGTTGCATGTTGCTGGCATTATTACGGGACCCACCAAACCAAGAAGTTACTGTGAAACTCTTTTTTTCTGTGAAACTCATTTTCTTTTCTTTTTTTTTTCGGTATTTTTTTCTTATATTATCTTTTAAAAAATAATTTTTTTATGTTTATTTATTATTAAAAAAATTACAAAAAATACTTTTTGATTAAATAAAAAATTAGATTGGTTTTCAGAAAAATATTTTTTTATTTTAAAAAAAAAATATTTTTCAAAGTTATAAAAAATTTAAAAATATCATATTATTTATTAATTATATCAAATTTAGTTTTTAAACTTTTAAATTTTAAATATTTATTTTTTAATTTTATTCTTTAAAATTTAATTTTTATATTAATTTTAATTTTAATTTTTATAATTTTAATTTATTTTTTCTTATTATTTTATAATTAAAATTTTATATTTATTAAATTTGATATTTATTCATTTGATTGTTACTTATTTTATTTAAAATAATTTATAAAATATTAATTATTATTATTTTAAATTTTAAATTTTTTTATTTTTAGATTGGATTTATATTATTTTAATTATTTTTTATTTTTTTATTTTTAGATTGCATCTATATTATTTTAATTATTATTTATTTTATTTAAAATAATTTATAAATTTTATATTTTTATTTTATTTTTATTTAACTTTTTAATTTATAGGATTTATTATTTTACTTGTTTAGAGTTTATTTTTTAAAATTTATTTTTTTAAAATAAATTATTTTTTAACAAATAAATATGGTAAAGAATTATCATTTTTTTTTTTGAATCTTTATCTTTTGCAGACAAATAAAGAATTATCATATTTTTTTTTTGAATCTTTATCTTTTGCAGATAAAAAGAAAGAAAAAAGAATTTTATTTGGGTCTACATGAAACTCTGTTGAAGTCTGAACTCTAATGTCTCTGTCGATATGGAGTTTTATTTATTCAAGTATTTCTTTGGATGATAGAGCTTTTGGGCATCACTAACTTGCCCTTTTACACCACGTAAGTTCTCTCTATAGTTTTAATTTCCAGAATTTCCAGTCTTTATCTGCTTCTCCTTGCCGTTTGTCACAAGGGTTGCTCAAAAAAATCTATTCTTCGGAAGGGTTTTCTTTTTCTTTGATCATCAACTTTTATCAATCTCGGTATTCTCTGTAAAGTTTAGTTCTTTCTCTCTTTTGCATGATTTTTAAGCCTGGTTTTTTAGGTATGTATTTTGCACTGTGATTTTTATTTTTCGATCACCCATTTACCATACGTAGAGATAGCTAAAAGAAAATTAGAATTGACAGGATTTTGGTGGTTCTTTTTCTAAATTTACTTCCTTTCTTCTTAGGAAAATTTGAACCTCTTAAGGATAAGTCTTAAATGGATACTTCATGTTTTGAGTTGTCTTCTTAAGCAATGAATTGCCTGAAAGTTTTTTACTGAATTTTAAATTTATAGACTTTTAGTTGTGGTTAATGTATAATGTCTATTCAAGTAGGTGCAATAATTTAATATAATTTTTATGTTGGTCCAATGAATTATTGATGTAAAGTTTTGATTTTGAGCTTAAATTAATAAAAAAAGAATCTTAAATTATTGATGTGAAGTTGCTCCTACAGTTTTATATTTACTGGTGATATTTGTTTCTGTGGTTTCTTTTTATGTTTGTGTTTCCTTTATACATGAAAATTAAGGTTATCTGAAGGATATAGTCCAGTAAAAGAGCATGGAGAAATTTTAATTATTTTTCATTTACTGAATGTTGGTTTAAATTCCTGTAGAGAATTGAAGCAGGGAGGATTGCTGTCACACTAACTATTAAATTACAAAGTGGAAGAAGTTTATCACCTGTTGCTGTGAGGCTAATTTATGACTATTATGGACCTGAAAGGTATAACATGGGTTGGTGACAGTTATCTGAAATTTGAAGCTAGGTTGCTGGAAGTGGAAGAAATTATGCGCGTGGTACGTCCTTTTTTGTAATGTCACCTGAAACTAATACCTATATATCTCAAAAGGCCAGTCTAAGGGCTGTATCTCTGCTGCCCAGATTTGTAGGCAGCTGAATTTGAATGGCCTGCAAGAGCAGTGCAGTTTCCTCCCAACTTGCAAATGTACTGCTGTGGCTTTTTTATGAGATTGGCCTTTATCATTTTTCTGTTTCAATTATTTCCATGGAAAGAGATTCATGATGATCTCCTTTGAGCTCTTGTCCAGTGTGCATTCCACTCTGTGCATTTCCTATTTATGGTCCCCATCCAATTATTGATGGCTTGATTGATATTTTATTGGGAATTGAGTAATTGACTGTCTAAAGCTAATTGCCCCTGGCTACTTTTCTGATTTTGGATTTAGGCTTGATTGTTGTGGTTGTTGTTTTGGACAGGAAGCAGTAAAATATGTTGAAAACCAGATGCAGACTGTTAGTAATAATGTGAGGAAATTCTACTCGGATGTCATGCAAGATTTGTGCTCTCCAGATTCAGAGGATCCTGCAAATGGGGCAGTCTCCAAATTTCCTGTGGATTCGGCAGCTGATGTTGGGATCTATATGAAGCCAGAAGATGGTATGGAAGAAAAATGTGGAAAGGCTGATGATCCTGAGCAATTGGCTGAGGATCTGAAGATGACTGCTGAATCTGGTGCTGATTGTCTCCCACTGCGTAGAAGGATTACTGTGAGAAGAATTTCAAGGCAGCATAGTAAAGGAAGTCTGTCCAATAAATCAAACCTGGATACTGATAAAAACTCTAACTGCAATAATGTGTCTCCAAATGAGATATCAGGAACTACCACTCTTTCGAGTAAATTTTCATCAACTGTTGAACTTTCTGATCAAAATCTGGAAGCATCTTGTGATCAGACAGCAAGACTTGCAACTCCAGGGTGTGTTGAAGTTACAGATCATTTCTCCATGGAAGAAAGTAAAAATGCAAGCAAACACGTGCCAGAGATCTCATTCAATAAACCATCATTGGATATGGTTAATATCACTGAAACTGGCAGGCATGAAGGAACAGACAGTAGACCTTCCAGCAGAAACCTATTAGAAGAATCAAATGGTGAATTTTTTGCACAGCTATTTCTGATTTTTTTTTTCCTTTTTTGTACTTGTAGAGTGTTCTGTTTTGACTGCTATTTCTTCAGGTGTTTGCCTAAGCAATGAGTTTGTTTCTATGATAGAATCTGCTGCAACTGGGAATATGCAGACTAACAAATTTGCTTATGAGGAGGATTTTGTGTCTTATTCAGGTATCCATATGTTGCATTTATGCACTTAAAAATTATCTTGATATTGAAATCAGGAAAAAAAAAATACTTGTATTTGTGGTCATTTGGTTTTGCAATATAATTCACTGCTAAAAAAGTCAAATGAGGAACTGACTTGATGAGAAAAGAGAGAGAGAAGATTTCATTATATCAGAAAATGGCGTCTGGGAAAATGTTGTTCAATTTGGAATTTTATTTCATCAACTTATCAATATGTGCACTGTCTAGACTGCTAAATAAATAGTGTATATTCTTCAACTTTCTTTCTGGTATCTTGTTTCTGTAGCACCAAAGCCACTCTACTGGTTTTGAGTCATGGCCGTTGTATTTTCATGGAAGGATTGGTCAGCTTAGCTGTTAGAACTATTTAAACTTGTTTCAATTTGTAACTTGATTACTACAGTAGAGCTGTATAAACAGAAAGCTGTGGCAAGGGTACATAAATCTTCTGGTATCCGTAGTTGATCATGTTCTATGTTTCCTGAAGTTTTGGATTAGACATACAGATCACTATACCTAGTTTTTAACATTGAATAAGTTGTCTATAACCCTAAACAGGACATCAGTTATTATTTAATGGCAATCATAGCATAAAGTTTCTTCACATCATATCATTTGTATTTTCAAACTCCATGGATTAATTGATATAAACTGTATTTTGATTAATTTAGTCTTGCAATTAGTGTGCACGTGTTGGATGGTTGAGTGTTATTCCATGGATTGTATATCTGTCTGACAAAGCTTAATTGTTGATATAGCTTGTTTCTAACTCTCTTGCTCTTTGGCCAATCATGTCCAAGGTTTTTTAACTTTATGATCTTACATCTGAAAATATACAAACTTTTTTCCTTACCACCCAGACTGCATAAAGCTTTTGTTTTCTTTGCTAAACCATTGATTTTTATTAACCTTTCATGTCCGACAGCAGTGAGTTTTAAGAGAAATTAATTCCATAGGTTAAGCTACATTGCTTTAGTTCAAGAGTAGTGTCCCGGGCTTGCAAGCACAATGGCATGAGTTGAATGTCTTGCTAAACTACAGCTTATGATTAACTTTAAAAGTAGCTTGCTCCTGTCTTTATTTTGTCTCTCTTTGCAATTAAATTCCAGACGTTTCAAAGAAACATGAACGATAAGAAAGAAAAATGTTCATGTTATCCTCACTATTTGCTGTGAATGCTGATGCTTCATTGAAAGTATCAAATTCGTTATGAACATGCAAATCCAAAATTTATGACAACCAAGTTTGCTCAAATTCTAAACAAGCATGGAAGATGCATCTTGGGATTGGAAAGTTAGCCTAACAACAGCTTCTCAATTCAGTCTGTTTAGGCATCCATATCTTCCAAAGCCGATTTTTCTCCATCAAATTTTCAATCTGTGTTTATGATCTATATATGCTGATATTTTCTGTTTTCTTGTTATTTCTTTTTATAGCCACTGATGTTAGCCTAATTTTGCTGGATGTTCAGATGAATGGAAAATAGAATCGGATAAAGATGGTACAATCATTGACGAGGGTATGGAAATCATTCGAGTGGACAAGGCTAGGCTTGAGGAAGCATGTGTTTTGGTGAATGTAGATGAATTCCATCATGTTCCCCGTGAAGGCAAAAACAGACCTTACAAGGTAATCTGTCCCACCGACTCTGTTTACCTAATCCATCATCAAATTCTTGTGCCTCTCTCTCATCAATTTTTTCTTTGAATATTCTTATTTAGAAGATTCGGGATGTTTTTTGTTCAAGAAAGAGGTCAGTGATGAAGGAATATGAGCAGCTTGCTGTACAATGCAGCAGTGATTCAAAATCCAAAGAAGAAGAGAGTATAACAAGTTCAATGCCAACTCTTTCTATAAAGGAAGCAAACAGATCCTTATCTCATGATCCTTCAGAACCAGAGTGGGAGCTTGTCTAGATAACAGCACAGTAAGTGTGTTTGGAAATGAGGTTGCTTTTGCATTTAGGTGCTTTTCAAAAGTGCTTTTTTTCTTAAACAAAAACTTTAAAATGATGTTTTTTTAATGCTTTTTATTGGTTTTGATATGCTGATATAAAAAATCTAAAAAATAAATAAATAATTTTGATACATATTCAAGCAAAAAATATTTTTTAAAAACACTCTGAAATCATCACACATGTATATAATTGCTGAACGGGGTGATTAAAAGGTGCCAGATGTTAATAATGGCAGCTGGGTTTCTCCCAAACCATTTTCCCTTTCTCTGTTTGTTCTCTTTTCGTTGACTGTTGAAGTTGGGAAACGGCAGAGAAGAAATACTGATAAATCGCCTCCAATAATTATGAAAGTTGTGAATTTATTTATAGTTATTTTATGCTGTCCTCAAATTATGGGGACGCAAGTTCTATTTACATGCATGGTCTTTGTGCCTTGAGTCCCAAACTAAACCTCAGATGTTTGAAGGAATTGTTTCCCTCCTTCCTCACAGTTGCAAATCCATGAAGTTTGGATTCTCTCGAGAGCTGCAAGAGTTGCTATATTTGGATTTCTTTTAATTTGTTCTTACATTTTCAATGTACATGGGCTTGCATGTTTTTGTATTTCAAAAGCATTCTTTAATTGTTTTTTTTTTAAATTGATATTTTTTTAGTATTTTCAGATATTTTGATATTTTATGTTAATATTAAAAATAATTTTAAAAAATAAAAAAAATATTATTTTGATATATTTTCAAATAAAAAACATTTTGAAAAGCAATTACAATTATATTTTCAAACAAACAGGAAGGCAGAAGGTGCTGCTACCTTGATGACCGGCAACTTAGGTAATACTAAAACCAAGGCACATGACAACTCTCTGTGAAGGATTCTTGGATGATTGGCAAATGATCAAGCTGGTACAAAATGAAATAACAAGTTAAATGATCTGATAATTCTAAACCAAGAAACAGAAAAACTCAATTTTAGTTGTTTTTGTTCTTGGTTACAACTTGAGTTTAGTAAAATTACTCTAAACTAAGACAGCACAACTCTTACTGATGATCAAACAACCAAATGCTTGGAATTTGAAGTGTCCGCGACCAAGGATGCATACAAGAGCCTGTTCCATGTATCAGGTAGCCCTGGTAAACACCAATGGCTGCAATCAGGATGGGATTCTTCTTGCAGTTGCTGCACAGTTTTCAAAAGCTTTTCCTGCTTTCTTGCATACAAAGCTGGATGTGCATCTCTTCTATACTCGGATAGCTTTGTAATGTTCAGGTATCTCACTGGTAGCATCATGCCTCGAATTGTTTTCTCAATAATTTCTTTCATTGGTTTAGGAAATGCAGACACATACGATTCATCCATATTGGGTTGTGTTATATTGTAACACCATTGCTTCCCTTGGTGTTGTGGCGATATGCTGCGGAAAAAGACGGTTGTTTTGGTTGCATCAACATGGTGATCGATCCAACGAGCCCAGGTCCTCATGCCTTTCCTTAATGCAGAATCGATCTCCATCTCAACTAATTTTCCTTTGTATTGAAACAAATCCCACCTGCAAAATCATCACCCATTTTGACATGATTTCTCGTTCAAATTCCACAAGTTGACTACCTGCCATTAAAACAGGAAACTTACGACTTCACTTTCCCACTGTGAACCCACCAATGGCCAGTGTTGAATACCATGACATCAGCTCCACGCCACGTCTCGGCCAAGGGTGACAGTTTGTCAAGCCTGAGAATTCTGCTCCCATTTTCTTGCTTATGTTGCACCAAAAAAGGGCTCCAATAAAACTCCACAGAACAATTATAGTCCTGTAGGAGGGATAAACTCTACGTTACAAGGTTTTTTAAATTGCTAGAGGTTTATAATTCAACTAATGAACTACCAAGAATCACTGGAGGACGATAATAGCATAACAAAGAATAATCTTACCTTTGCTTTGAAGACCTTATAGACACCATTACGAGCATCAACATGGGCTTGCGAAGAAGGTATGGCTGAATAAAGAAGGCAAGCTAGAGATTCCCATTGGTTTCTGTTGAGGGAATCTCCAACTATTATCATCCTCTTTCCTCTAAGTCTCTCCAACATGTCTATGCCATTAAACCTTGAACACAATCTTTGTTAAGAAGAACACAAAACATGCACCTTTTTGTTCTTCTTTTTATAAGTTAAAAACTTGGCTTAAAAGACCTATAATGCAATAAGCTAAAAAAACATGACATAGGCTAATACCCCCACAAAACAAAACATGGACATAGGCTAATACCCCCACAAAACATGGGCATAAACAAAACAAAATGCACTTATGGTAAGAAATCTTACCTTGGAACATCACAGTTTTTGGCTTCCCAGCTCCATTTCTCATATTCAAAGTCTGGCCTTCCATTCCTCTGGCAGCTTACCTGTTCACTAAGAAACGGACATTCAGCTGCAGTATGTTGAGGGCCTCCCTCTGGTTCATAAACCCATTTCCCATCAAACATGTTGCACTCCACTTCCTCCTCTTTCATAGGGTTCATGTCATTCTCGACCAAGTTTATGCTCCCATTCTTGACCACGTTTGTGGACTCCAACAGTTCACTAGACGTTAGACTGGACATTGACACCGATACACCAGCATTTAGAAGTGTTGAAAGTTTCGGGCTGTTCTGACATTGTTTTAGAAAAAACATCAGTACAATGAAACTCATGAAGCTTGCAAGTATGCAAAGCCTCCAATTTTTACCAATGGTGAAACTACCAGCTTCCATGCCTTCTGTGTGTTTGTGCTTCTTCAAGGTTGTAGAGAAGTCCATGTTTTGTGCACAAGGGCGGCCAACCACAACTTAACTAAGTTTATGATTCTATAATGTGCAAAGCTTAATGAATCCTTGTCAATGCACGCACATGAGTAGATATGGTAACTGGTCATTAATGCAGCAGCAGCAGGTCTAAACAATGGTTTAGGTATGCTTACTCTCTTAATTTCCAAATTGGGTGGAGGGTAGATGTAACAAGAATTAATAGTTACTTTTAAAAAAAATATATTATTATATGAAGTGGACCATTACATAGATACCATACAGAAAAGTCTATCAGTTTTCGTTGCTAAAGTCCAGTGTGATAAACCATATTAAAAAGATTAATTAGTGTCTGAGTTCATCATTTGGATGTGTTGTTCATCCTCTAGTGATTAAACTGATCTTGAGGAATCAATCACAGAGCATAAAACATATAAGATTTTTTTTTTCATATAAAAAAGAAGGAATATATCAAGATTACAATTAAATTTATGACACTAAATAATAAACACTGATTATATTTTTATACAAAAATTAAATTTTGTTAATTAATAATGTTGCATGTGTGCGGCGTCGTAGTGAATATTCCACCATCAAAATTTTATCTTATCTATTTAACTGGCAAATGTGAGTAGATATAAAATTATTTTCTTTTATTAGTGAAAAAATAAAATAAAAGTCATCATATAATATTTTGGTTATTAGGTATTCTAACTATTCTAAGAGATTAGGTATAGGGACTAGTTGTATAAATGGAAGGTATTAACACTCCAAATACATCATACCTGAGGTAAGTTTCATTATTTTATTTTTTGGTAAATCTAAGGTCTTGTTGTGCTTTTTAGTTGTTGATCTATTTATAGTTTAAGAAAAGTCTTTTTTGGTAAAGTGATTCTTATCTTATCAGGTAAAACCTAACCATTCTCATGCCAACAAAAGAATTTAATATCTGGATACATCCTACATATAAGATCATAATTCCAGATACTACAAAAAAAAATTGAATTTTTTTTTTGAGATATTAGCCTAATTCTTGTAATTTTGATAAACTGGTTATTAAAGCTAAAATGCATGCTAATACATATTTTTTGAAATTTTTTTTGTTGTATGAAAATACAATATGATTTTTATTTTTATTTTTGAGAGGCTTGACTGTCTGCATGAAAACAAAATATATTTTTTTATTTTTTTATGAAAATTAGATATTTTAATACTAGATTTGTATCTTTACAGAATAAAAATTCAATCACCAATATTTTAAAATAAAATAAAATATTTGCAAAAAATCACAAATTTTTGAAAATAATTTTTTTAAAATTTTTTTGGGCTGGGCTCAATTTGGCCTATGTGGCTGGGCTAATTATGGGCCCAATTCAATGATCCAACCAAGCATGGAACAGTGCGAAGGTAATTAAATTACCTTCGCAATGTCCATTCTTTGTTTTCTGTAGC